ATCTGGTTCCAATATATTTGTCTAGCTAGCTATGTCCAGTTTCCGATACATTCTGATACAATACAGTAGAACATGTTTATAATTAATACCCATGAAGATCCAGGGTAGAATAGGTCTTAAGCGACTCATGAAGATCCAGGGTAGAATAGGTCTTAAGCGACTCATGAAGATCCAGGGTAGAATAGGTCTTGAGCGACCCATGAAGATCCAGGGTAGAATACCGTATATGACCGCGTATAAGCCGAATTTTGAGGACCAGAAAAAAGATTCTGTAGAAAGGGGTCGGCTTATCCATGGGACACACTTTCATGATAGTATTTTTCAGATCATGATCTGTCAGAAACATCGCCTGAATGACGGTCCGATAGATTACAACTTCCCGAAAGTTTGGAAGTTGCCACGACTAGAGCCATTATTGTTATAAATTATCAATAAAGTTATTATTATACACCAATGTTGTCATTATTAAAAAAAATGTTATGCATGTTACTACTTCCGATAATAAGTTTTCAATTGAATGTTCAAAGTTTATCATTCTTCATAAACTCCACAATCTTTACATGTAACAATATATGTAATTCACAGCTATAATATATAATCCCCAGATGAAATCGCCAATAGCTATTACGTACGTTCGGTAGGTCTTGAGCAACCCATGAAGATCCGGGGTAGAATAGGCCTTAAGCGACTCATGAAGATTCAGGGTAGAATAGGTCTTAAGCAAACCATGCTTGTCCCCCCGTGAAGATCCAGGGTAGAATAAGTCCTAAGCAACCCATGCTTGCTGTATGCTTGTCATAAAAGGTGACTATCGGGATCGGGTAGTCTGACTCGCTGATTTGGTTGATGCATGTCATTGTATCCCAGTTGCAAAAGTCGATGCTCATGATGTCAATCACTGGATTGTCTGTTCAAGACTCAATTATTTACAGACCACCAGCTGGAATATTGCTGAGTGCAGCGTTAAACAACAAACAATTCATCAAATATTTATAATTTACATCGACAAACAGATATAACAAACAATTTAACATCATATAACATCATATAGAAATAATGTGAATAATGTGCTGACAAAACAAACTGATACTTAATTCCCCATTAATTTTCTAGTTCCAGTGAGGTGTAGAGTTTAAATTGCTAAAACCATTCCTCTTTTGTTCTGGATTCCAAGGCTCTATAAAAACCTGTTCAAAGAGACCATTATCCTTTATACAATCAAAGAAGGACTTTCTTTATATTCACAGAAAGTATTTGAGACAAGTGGACTTATTACCATGTGGATTCTCAAACACTCAAAGGATTTGCTTGAATTTTTGCAATCTTAGAAAAGAACAAAGTTGAAATTGTGTCAAAGCGTTTGATTTTCCAATTTTATACCATCCCACACAGAATAAATTGAGGAAAAACTTCATTGCTTCATCCATGGGACATTTGTCCCTAAATGTGGTGATTATGCAGATGATGTCAAGAAATCAGACAAATATGCCAGCCAATCAGATCACAGCGCAACTCTTTTCTGCTTACCATGCTAACTGGTCCAAGAGGTCATGAACTTGGAGCCTGTCACTGAGACACAGATTGGCAAATTTACTCATTACTGGTTTAATGAGTAGTCTCAAGAACAGTGTCACAGTTCATTCCAGACCCTGTCTCTTGCTGAATACTCACAGTACCGTTATGAGTAATATATATAAATATCAATAAATCTACCACTTCTACTATTACCGCTTATGTATTAATTAGTTTGTTTTGTTTTGTTTGTTGTTTAACGCCGTACTCCAATATTCCAAGCTATGTGACGGCAGTCTGTACACAATCGAGTCTGGACGAGACAATCCAGTGACTGACATCATAAGCATCAATCCATGCAATTGGGATACGATGACATGTATCAACCAAGTCAGCGAGCCTGACTACCCGATCCCGTTAGTCGCATGGGTTGTTGAAGCATGTTGAAGACCAATTCTAACCCGGATCTTCACAGGTTCTTAAGTAGTTTGAACATTGTTCCTGCAAAATGTACACTAGAACACTGTGAGGTTCATGAAATTCTTTTGTTAGATTATCTGCAGCTTCCTATATCTTTTTTTGGTATACTTAGCATCATTAGGGGTCACATAGATAAGAGATAAACGTTTCAAACAGTGCCGTTCAGTTGAATCTTGAGTGAACCATTTCACACCAATATTGACAGTTTCTCGTCATGAATTGCATTTGCATGTGCGAAACCATTGTTTGCAGTCAGACATGTTTTGGATCGCTTTTCCATCACCTTCAATTTTGCACTTTTCATTGGTTTTAAGAGTCATTGTTGATTTTTCTAGTTTCATAACCATGATAAACAACATGTTCTTCACCTGTTTGATTGTTTGTTTAACACTGCACTAGGCAATATTCCAGCTATATGACTGCGGTCTATAAATATTCGAGTCAGGACCAGACAATCCAGTGATTGACATCATGAGCATGGATCTATGCAATTGGGATACGATGGCATACATCAACCAAGTCAGTGAGCCTGACCACCCCATCCTGTTAGTCACCTCCTACGATTAAGTATTACTGCAAAAAAGTGAATACTTTTTAAGCATTTCATCTTTGATTTTTTTCAAGCTCATGATCTTCCATCCCTGCACTAATCCTATTTGTCACAAGACATTTTGTAACAGTCAGTACTAATTACCACAATAATATCCAAGGAACTGCAAAATATTTCATTATAACCTGTTTCCTCAATAGAATGATTATGACTTACATTTCCAAACTATTGTGAAAAGGCTGATTTAAAAAAATATATTTTTGGCCTGAAAATATGTTTAGTTATAGAGAGCATTCTATAGAGGTAGAAGTAGGCAGCAATCATGTAACGTCTCACCATGCCAAACAAACTGTTATGCCTATTGTACCATAGGCCACTGGACTCCAAGTTCCGAATTAAAGTCTCATGTCAAAGCTAGGTGAAATTATATCAAAGACTGATCACTACAATCAATATCCAGAATATACAAATCTACTTACTAGAACACCAGCTAGACTAAATATAATAAAACTTTCTCATGCCGGCCCCAAAAATTGCCCCCACAAGTAATATATTTTATATTTGAAGGCACTGATAAAAAAACTTTTGAATTCAAATTCCCTTTAGGCACCCAATTTAAATTTTTTGCAGATGCCATACTATTAATAGTGTCAGATTCTGTGGGTATGCTAGCTATGGTCACAATGGCTTCATACCCGTCTCGCCATACTTCACACTTCAAGTATGAGTCTATGACCAAAGAGGTCATGTGGTAGAATATAAAGAAATATAAGATATTCTCTATTTCCAGATCAGTTTTGACAGAAGTCATAAGAAACACACTAATTTAAATAGTCGAAGCTGGGACGAAGGTACAAGTTACACCATTCCCCGTTCAGGCAATGTGCGAATGAATGTTCCTAAACACTGTACAGTGGCTGTTTCTCACTAATCCACTCTGTCACCATACATCCATGGGAAACAGGTCAACATACATTCAGCCACCTGATCGGGAGCATTGTGTTCCCATCTCCTTCACTTTACCAGATCCAATCATCATGACAAATCCTGTATATCCAGTATGAGACATAATGACATGTTAACAAAGAGACTAAAGAAACAGTTCTTCAGACTGATATTAAATCATTTGAATCATTCATCCTTGGCTATATCATGACATTGTCACACATGTCCTCGTGGCAAGCCACATGTTTAACCATGACTCCAGGACATCAGCTGTAGCATCTATAAAGTATCCTCATCTGCAATATCTAACAGTTAAACTGCACATATTGTTCAAAAATAAACTATTAGGCATTTAAGTTCTCAGTTTGTTTGTTTGTTTGTTGTTTAACACCTCACTCTGCAATATTCCAGCTCAATGACAGCGGTCTGTAAATAATCAAGTCCGGACCAGACAATCCAGTGATTGATATTATGAGCATTGATCTATGCAATTGGGCTACAATGTCATGCATCAACCAAATCAGTGCATAAATAAGAGATGTGTCATCTTTGACATTGCTTACAGACCATCCCACTATACTGTCTGTTTTTCACAGACCCATGAAGATCCGGGGTAGAATAGGTCTTCAGGAACCCATGCTTGCCATAAAAGGCTACTATGCTTGTTGTAAGAGGCGACTAACGGGATCAGGTGGTCAGGCTCGTTGACTTGGTTGATGCATGTCATCGTATCCCTATTGAGCAGATCGATGCTCATGATGTCAATCACTGGATTGTCTGGTCCAGACTCTTATTATTTACAGACCACCGCCATATAGCTGGAATATTGCTGGGTGTGGTGTTAAACAACAAAGAGAGAGTGTTATACCACCAACGTCTGTGAGCATGCATGCAGCATTGGTCCTTTGACCTTTCCCCTTTGGCAATTATATGCCATTATACAGCATCTCTGACAGAAGATACCACCAGGAACTTGGAAGACCTGATACCAAAGGAACAACTGATCGTAAACACTGCTGACAAGACAGATAGGACAATGTTCATAATTGAACAAATGATCTTGTTAACAATGCTGCATAAACTTGGCACAAATCCCCTACAGCAAAGATCTCTCTTCTAATCAACAACCTGCACCAGCCCCTCCAGCAAAGCCAGTCAACTTTGCTCTTTAATAATGTTCTTCCTTTGCGGTAGTGCTAAAAGAATTACTCAGTGATCTGGAATCATGTGTCAGTTTACTGGACAAGCTTAATAAAATATTTCAAGTTATCTGAAATCGTTCATAAAGAAGCATTCATGTGACATGCTTCCCTTGAACCAAAGTCCTTTCAGCTGAAAGGTAAGGTTACAACTGGCCATGTTTTCAAATGAAATTTGTTCATCCAACAGGGATGTGAAATTTCATCTCTTGTAGAATTGTTCTTTTATCTGAAAGGTTATCTTACAACTTGCCATGCCGGACACGTGAAAGAATGAATAGTTTCATTAACGACAAACTACATGCACCTGAAACTCTCACCTGAAGCTTTTTCGTAGTCCCACAGGTGTCACTGAAATCCGTGGCACAAACAGCTGATTGGGTCGCTTGTCGTGTCCAGCCATTTCTCCAGTGGATAAAAACCGAATTCGACGTCCTCTTCCCCAGCGTGGATGGGCAAAGGTTGAATCTTCGTTGGTTATCAAATCCTGAAAATACGAAGATTTGTAACTGACGACAGATGTTGGTCGTATATTGATGGCAATCAATACCGACTGAGCACGGATAGCGTATCTCTCGCAGCCACAACACTGATGTTGGAAGTAAGTTCCTGCAGTAGACTTTCAGATCACATATGATATGTATTTACAGGTAGTACAAGTAATCCAATTAGGTGCCGCGTCGTCAAGTACTGTCGCCACTGAGGGAATGACATTGATTTTTCATACAACACACAGTTCAGTGATATCAGGTGTAATACGGTAAGGTCGCTTTGTGCCGGTATTCCATTCGGGTACTCTTCGCCAAATTCGACCCTCTGAAGCTATGAAATATTAAAACGAAATGTAGGTGAAACTTTCGTCGCAACAGGGCGAGTCACGGAACAGTAACTTTTGCAACTCGGATCCGTCGATTAATTCTTGGCGTCGCATCAACTGACATGTTTGTCTTGGTCAAGTCTTCAAATTGACAGGGGACCGATGACCCTTCTGCGACTACTGGTCGTCTGCTCGAATGATGCATCCATTCATTCCCAAAGAGATTAACAAAATGGGTTCAGTGTCTCTTATAATCCCGCGTGAATTGCCAAGAGACAGTGAAGCAGACGACAATGGTCGTGTCATCAGTTGGCACTAGCGACCAGCCGACTGTCTCCGTCATGCAAGCGGCACCTGGGGGCGGAGGAATATAGAAAAACGGGATTTGTCTCATAAACTCATTGCTACATTGGTCAATTTGGCGCGAATCTTTATCGTTGCTTAAAACAGATTCTTTGAGGGAGGCATTGTTGTGTTTTTTTCGACGAAACTCTTGCTGTGCAATCGGGTGGATTAATAGAAGCGATTGTCAAGTCTTGTAGGATTGAATCGCTGGATTCACATTATTACGGTAAATGGGAGAAGAAATAAGTTTGCGAAGTTGACGTGTGTAGAAGCCAATAAGCTAAGAAAAGTGGGATCGATCAAGTACGGAACCGGAGCTGTTAATGATAGCTAGCGGACTTCAATCACACGCGAGCAGCACGAGCCACGTGCAAGACGCGAAATCAACGACTCCACGAAGAATCTGGAAATAACACTATCTGTGGATGGCGCACAATGCTGACGATTGATACGAACGGGAAGCGCTGATTTATCCTGTCAAATATCTGTCTGTTGGACGATTTTAGGACTGCAGCTATTTCTAAACGGCGAAGACAGCCAATGTAGTAGTTTAAATTGATAGTGAATGGCATCGTTTCGTGACAGTAGATACATAACAATGTCGTTTGTCAACAATGATCGGTGTTTCCATTCCAGCAAAGAGGTTGTCAACGACCAACAAGCATACGGTATTGTCTCATTTGCAGCGCGTGGCCTCGAACCTGTTGCACGGAATTTACTTCTTGGCGCAAATCGTCAGCAACACAATCGGCCAATTCAATAACAGCACCATCGTCCTCAGTGAGTGAATGAGAGGGGTTGACGCTTGAGCAATCTTTGATTTTGAATAGCTGCATCTAAACTGTCCGGCAAAATCAAGTGCACAACCGTATTTGATGGTGGCAAATAATTAAACAAACAAGAAATGTGTATTTAATGGTGATGTATTTGAAACCGGTATCATAGTTGTGTTTTGGACCTTACTGTTTGAAGTGTTTCGGGGACTGTTTTCAGCATAGTAACGTTTTGATAACGTACGTACGTTTGTTTGTTTGTTGTTCAACGCCGCACTCAGCAATATTCCAGCTCTATGACGGCGGTCTGTAAATATTCGAGTCGGGACCAGACAACCCAGTGATTGGCATCATGAGCATTGATCCACGCAATTGAAACACGATGACATGCATCAACCAAGTTAGCGAGCCTGGCCACCCGATCCCGTTAGTCGCTTCTTACGACAATCATAGTCGCCTTTTAGGGCAAGCGTGGGTTTCTGAAGACCTATTCTACCCCGGATCTTCACGGGTCACATATTCATAAGAAAGCGGTCGGTGAAACCATGGTTGAAGGTTTCACAACGGAGTCCCACCGTTGATGTGTTCTAATCCAGGACACCCTAGAGAACCCCGCACGCCCATTTAATCCCCTCGCGCGACTTCACACAGCGCCAACAGTAGGATTCCAGGTCAGAATAAATCCAGTAACCCCTGCTTGTCGTAAGAACCAACAAATAACGATGTGGTGCGTGGGATGTGTGCCCTTAATGTCAACGCTGATGGGGGCGGTCGGGTAGCCTTGTGGCTAAAGCGTTCGCTCGTCACGCCGAAGACCCGGTATCGATTCCCGACATAGGTACAATGTGTGAAGCCCATTCCTGGTGTCCCCGCCATGATGTTGCTGGAATATTACTAAAAGCGGCGTAAAACCACACTCACTCAACGCCGATGAGCCCCGCCCACACCCGGAGATTAACTTGACTACATGGTATATATAGCTGGACTATTGCTGGTTGCGGCGTTAAACAGTATTCATTTACTTGCCCTATTCTCCCCGACGACGACTCTCGACAAGAAAGGCTCCTTTTCAAAGCATGATATGCTCATTAGTTTGGCGGAAAGTCGATGTACTATTTAAATAATTCAACAATTCAGTAATGAAGGTAGATATTCTATAAGTTTTAAATAAATAACAAGCGGTAGATTATGTTTCTATGGCAACACAAACAGAAACCATTCCGATTCCTGACAAGACAAATGGAGTTAGAGTAAAATGATAAAACATATATGCCTTCGATAACCTTTGCTTTTATTTCCTACTCTACGTGCGTTTCATAAGCAAAACGGGGCGGTGGGGTAGCCTAGTGGTTAAAGCGTTTGCTCGTCATGCTGAAGACCCGGGTTCGATTCCCTACATGGCTACAATTTGTGGAGCTCATTTCTGGTGTCCAACGCCGTGTTATTGCTGGAATTTTAAAAGCGGCTTAAAACCATACTCGCACATACGCAAAACTGGCGGTGGGCTAACCTGGTTGTTAACGAGTTCGCTGGTTGTTAACGTCCTCACGCCCTTGTTCGATTCCCCAACTTGGGTACCAATTGCAATGAGCCGTGATATCCCGGGGACATTGCTAAATTCGCCGTGAAGTCACACGCATTCTTACGCAAATCACGCCTATGTATGCTCATTTAAGTTTGATGCACTCATTTTCAAGTCTCTTGGGGCTATCATGTCGCCGGGAGGCTTTTTCTGACTTTTTGTGCCGCGAAACATTAATGGTGTTCAAGTGCACCGATGATTAACATCACAAGAACTTCATTCTTACTGTGAATGAGTTGGGCTTAACGCCGCTTTGAACGGTATTCCAGTTATATCGCGGCGTGTCAGCTTAATGTGGGAGGAAAGCCCGAAGTGATGCAGGTCTCAGACGTTTACCAGTTCGGTGAAACCCACGAGCACGGGTATGGTGCTGACAAACCTAGAAACATAATCGGGGCGAACCGTAATTCAAACCCACGATCTGGTGTGTCCAAGGGACGAAACTCTGCGCAGCAAATTACGGCGCCTGAGACGACTGGGCCACCCGTGACCCCTCTTTCTATGTAAGGAGGTAAAACTTTTATTTTACTATAGCTGGAATATGGCAGAGTGTGGCATTAATCAACAAACATCAACCCTCAGTCTCTACTGTACAAAGTCTAGCTGCATCGCCAATTCAGAACAAATATACCATGTGGTGTCTCCTTGGGCAAGTGACTTTGTGCGAAAGGTGCCTCTATTCACTCAGCGGTGAATGGGTTCCCGGTAGGTTAAGATGGCAATGTTGTTGTTAATCTTCTAGCGCCTAACAGGCAACTTGGGTTGTATACTCCCCTGGGAGCTGAGAATGACTGTTAAGTGCACACTGTTCCAGTGGCCGGATTAATACTAGCGCTTTGAGCATGCCCCTGTGTAAGCACAATATAAATGGCCTATTATTGTTGTTGTTGTTGTTGTTATTAAAATAAAAAATGCAGCAAAGAGGGTTTTAGTGATACTGGCACAGTCAGACTGGTTAAGCTCATCATCAGCTCAGGGCCCTTGTCCCCTCTACACGCAGCCAGACAGTGAATGGGACTTCTACCAGGAAGCGCGGCCTTGTCAAACCCACCCAGAACTTTTCGGAGAATGTGAAGACTCCCCAACACTGCAGCCTTCTGCATTACCCAGATTGTGAGAAAGGCTGTATTCCTGGTAGCAAACCCGAGTACTCTCCCAATGTCAGCCAACAAATTGGTAAGTATCAAACCTAAGGCACCGAGAACAATGTGGAGTCGCACAACTTGGTACTTGGGATGCAAGCGTGACATTTCGAAAGCGAGGTCCCTATGTTTGCCATGCCTGAATCTTGTCAATCACATTAGTGTCAAAAGGGACAGAAAATTCAATAATATAAATGATTTCATTATTATTAGTAGTAGTAGTAGTAGTAGTAGTAGTAGTACCACGCAGCGGCTTAAGGAACGGTACATCATGTGTACTGGTGTGTATTTACTTCATATTAAAATGGATGGCGTCAATCACATCTTATACTAATGGTATGGTCACAACTCCCTGTAATCAGTCACTCGGATAGTTCTCATTCAGTTGATGGCTATACAAAACATTAAGCAGACATGATGATTTAGCGTTTGAAAGGATTTCGAAGAAATAATTGCATACTGTTTCTACTAGGAGTGACGGGAGTGAACGGAACGCGACAGGTACTGATTCCGAACTGTGGCTGACACATTGAAATTGTCAGTCCCTAAAGAGGGTTTACGTTTTCAACTGTAATTACATATATATGCTGCCATATCACGGACAACTGAGAATGAGTTCCACAAGTTAGCAGATGGCATCCCTACAAGTGCAACGCGTCCCGATTCCCAATGTAAACCGACTCCTACAAGGGATACATGGAGGCTTATTTGGAACCTATTGTTTAACAGGGCCCATCGTCACCTCCACGGAGGTCGATTCCCAATATAAGCCGACTTCACGTAGTACGCATCTTTTCTAGGCAAGGGCGTTAACTGACTATAAAAGTTCAGTTTCCTCCTTTGCCAAATTAGGCTGGGATTCCGGAGTTACATTTTGGCTTGATAAACGAGTCTATGCATAGTCCTAACAAAATCGCAAAACGAACTAGACATCCGGTTCGGAAACAACATCGATTTCAACGTGCAGATTTCGGTCGACTACAGGATTTGCAAAGGATGTGTACAGACAACTTGGCGTCGACAGATGGTTTGCAAATCTTTTCATGTTTTTAATTAAGGTGCCAAAGTGCTTTGATGCAGTTCGCGGGGTAAGACCCGTTTTATTACAATATAGATCTTGATTAGCGATCGGATCTTCGTGACTTGGCGCCGCCATTTTGTTTGAAGCAAATGCAAGTGATGTGAGAGGTGGAATCTGATTGGTCAATGGAAGGGACATAACTCGTAATAGCCACTGGTGGCGCTACGATCGATCCTGAAAGTTCGGCAAGGGTGGAAACCGGACTTTTACAGTCAGTGAGCGCTCTTGCCTCGGGAAGATTCGTAGTACGTGGAGTCTTGTAGGACTCGAACGCGAACCTGTTGCGTGATTAGCGTTGCCTCTCCGCGACGGCCTATTTCCTATAAACTATCGCGGGCATGCATGACATGCAATCTCATTAAAATCAGAACTCAGTTCTCGCTACCGCTAAACAAACATCTGAGGACATCCCATTAGGGGTCACGTCAGAACGACCTTTCAGCCGACCAATCAGAGCATCGCTTACCAGATTATGAAAGCGACTGTCGGAATGTGATTTCTAATCATGCAACCTCGAAAACTTAACTCCGAGCGATAGTTACGGGTTTAACGACTGAATCCATACAATCTAAAATTTAGACCATCTCTTAGCCATTCCAGAATGTTCTTTTGTTCAGGTTTCAAATTTGTAATCAAGAATTTGTCAAAATATGTTTCGAAGCGTAGTCGCCAATTTGAAATAAGTGCCGTAAAGCACGAGAAAGCTGCCTTCTGATTGGTCATTCCATTGGTCGGTCAAAGTTCGCGCAAGGTCGGTCTGACGTGACCCGTAATGGGATGTCCTCAGATCTTTGTTTAGCTGTAGCGAGAACTAAGATCTGATTTTAATGAAATTGCCATGACATGCATCAACTAAGGCAGCTAGAATGACCACCCGATCCCGTCAGTCGCTTCCTACGACAAGCATGGGTTGCTGAAGACTTATTCCAACCCGGATCTTCAGGGGTTGCGTTATTGTAACACACATTTGGGCAGCGCTTTAGTACAGTTTACGTGTCGGTTACCAAATAAAGGCGAACTTTGTAATAGAAATATAGAAAATAAGATATTACTGGCATAGACGTAATCTTTCAGATCTTAAATGAGCCAAAGGGATTGGATTTCAATTAATTAAATTGACAAACTTTGCTGATGGCCGTCCAAGAATTATTTGCAATATCGGCGTCTTTGTAATGGCGTGTAGACATGGATGTTTCTGTTCTACAAGAATTAATAATTCTTCATTTATTTGTGATGTTGGCATCGTTATTTCTTCAAGAAAGACTTATTTGTCAAACCATGTGTTTTCTTTTCACCCGGAAATTACATCATAAAAAGGGTATTTCCCAAAGCGTCGGGACAGCAAGCAGTAAAAAATCTCTTCTTTTTTGTGATTGAAACATATTACTGCCGTCGCTGCGCTTCGTTAATTAAGGCAGTTTATCTTAAAACTACAAGCGATTTTTTCTTTGCAGTCGACGCTCTGGTATTGTGTGGGCGGGCTTAAATCGACCCACAAGCACGAGGAAATGTAGACATGCAGGGACTCGAACGCGAACTTACTGCGTGTCGAGCGCGTTGCCCCTCAGACTGGTACAAACAGTAACGTATCTCCGCATGTCATGAAACTTACACTCTATCTCGCGTTATAATTAGCGTGTGTATGTAAATGCTCGCTCACGTAGGCCTTCGGGTTTGTAGGTCACTGATGTAAAACAAGCTAAAAGCTAAACCCCAGTACGTCAGTGCCTGTACACACACGACTGCCTAAATATACGGACTGAATATCACCATTACATAGCCAAAAGATAACATCTCACATTTAAACATTCACAGATATCAGTTGACCAACTCTCGGAAATCAAAGAGTGAACTGCCGTTTCCTCACATTAACGGTTTGACCCGTGAACTCCTAACTGCGTATGAATGAGTTATGTCCTGGTGGTTAGGATATGTCCCCTATATTCGTACACGGGCCCTTTAACACTACTTACGTCAGTTTTTACTTGCAGCGTTCTCAGGTTCGTCATCTCCTCCACCGACGCCAGACGAAGCAGACGACGTCGTCTCAAACTGGACATCGCCGACGGTAAAGCCTCCGCAGGTCTGGGGCCCTTCTCGGAGATATTCAAGGCATCCATGGCGTAGAATTTGGGAGACAGGGTTCAGAGCTGTGAACTTGCAGACGACAATCTAGGGCGAGAAAACAGCTTGAATCCCACAGGCTAGTGTTGAGTTATTATAAAATGTCCCCTATCCTATCCGCTTCGCGCCCCACTGCACAACGTGTAGCACATCTGAGGTCATGTATGACAAGCACCTGTACGCGTATCAGACAACCCCGTGAAATCCTCCCGTGTTTATAAACACAACCAGAAATGGGGATGATACATCGGAAACAACCTTGGTGCTAACCAACAACCTGTTTTACTTCCAATGTGATGACAGGCGAACTACACCATCCACTATATGGCATGTGTATATCCTTCTTGATACAGGTCAAATATTTCCTCAGCTTTACAGGAACCTGGTGGTAAATAACAGTTTTTCTTTCGATGCTATTACACGTTTTTCTAATTTAATCTGCGTTAATGAGAATTTGTATTAAATAATGAAATCCGAGTCGGATGAAAACTCTCCCTCTGCGCCAAATGTTCCAGCCTGAAGTTTTTCTCTGTGACTGAGAAAGCAATAGCTATTTGAACCTTGGCATCGACTGGATTAGTTTTTGTCCATATGTCAGATTCCACTGCAAATTAAATATCTGATTGCAAAATGCTGGGCAGAGGTCTGGGAAGGAAGAAATTCTCCCGTCGTATCATCCAAACTGTCTTTACGAGATAATAAAAGCAATAATAAACACATGTTTCAAAGAGAAATGTATCTATTTAAAAGGGGTAAAATGCGATGTAACTTGAATATCGGTTTGTATGACCGGTTTACGTTTCTCTGCTCTTATTTCAAAGGAGGTTATTGCACTTATATAGCGACGTGTGTGTGTGTGTGTGTGTGTGTGTGTGTGTGTGCGTGCGTGCGTGCGTGCGTGCGTGCCTGTGTGTGTGCGTGTGTGTGTGTGGCTGCTTGTACTGGTCCGGACTGATGCCGATTAATAGTGCTAGCCCACTGACATATGCTGCAGTTCAACATGATTACCCCACTCAGAGACAGTATACTGACTCCGAGCCGACCAGTCCTTGTTTTAGCCCCATAATGCCTAGCGCCAGGCAGCGAAACAAGTACCACTTTTTAACGTCGCAGCCGGGGATCGAACCCCGGACCCCGCTCTCTGGGCGGATGTTCAACCACTAGACCAAACAGGCAGTCTATTTCAAAGGCGACCCAGAGCCAAGTCACCTGTACCGCTTTATTTGTGAGCAGAGAGTCGCGTTGCTTAGGTGTGTGCCTGGATTCTATAATAAAGGTTCGAATCCCAGATTCTTCCTGTTTATGATTCTTGGTTTGTTAGCACCATATCCGTGCTCGTTGGTTTCTCCATGGTGGTGAAGTCTTAAGACCTGCATTACTTCGGGTTTTCCTGATCATTTTCACGTTTCCTAATCATCTTCTGAATAATCTTCTCCTGAAAATACTAAAAATATTAATTTGTCCTCAGACTTGTCAAAAACAATCATTCACTGGACCTGCTGGATGCTCAGAAAATAGTATCGTGGTTCCAAAAAGATTTACTGGATCCTTCTTTCGCAGAAAGACACTGTAAGTCCACTTCCTACCCAGCCCCACCACAAAACTTCACCGCCCCCATTCCAACCCTTTCAGATGATTCAGATTTCTCCTTCCCAGTAAAACTGACCACCTTGTTAATCGTCCCAGAAACCCACCTCCTCATCTGATAATGCAGGTCGAGGTTTCAAAATAGCCCATGACTTTATCCTCTAAGGTCCAGGCGAATTAACTGAAGCACAGGTGCCTGTCCGATAAAGCCCGGACTAGTCCACATCACTCTGTTTCTCATCACTCACTATAGAAATCGGGATTTCAGGAACTGCTCTTAAAGAAGTACTATGGTAACGCTGAGCGTGAATTAAAAGAGTAATCGAAGCCTCATATCACCACATGGTAACACCTTTGTATTGAAGCCCTTGGGAAATGTTAAAGTTGAAATGGATGAAGATTCACATCCCCGAGTGCTGATACTCTTTTCCTTGTCAAAGTGTGCCATTTTTGCCATCGAGGAAACCATTAAAGTGTTTGTACAAATGGCTAACAAGTCCATGATCCAAGATGAATTTTGTACCATATATATTTCTACTGATTTTGTCTCCATCTCCGAAGGAAAAAAGATTGGACGAAAGACGCACTCGTGTTCAAATATTCCAGGAAAATCTCTGAAATATGCCCTTTCGGATCAATTTAGCCTTACCTAGACGTGTTGTGTTGTTGTGACTGGAATGTCAATCTGCGTTGGTGTATAATCAATTCGCGAGTTTAATAGGGCAAATGTATAACGCGCAGTTATCTATCCCAGTGTTTGGTTAGCCTTTCTTTGAAATGTTTATGACATGTGTCAAGTTCTTTCAGGTGATTTGTCACCCAGAGCTCGAGACTTCATGAAATTATGAGGGCGTGACGTCACAGAGGAAAGCTGTTGATTTGAGTCATGAGCAAAGCTACTTACACTTCAAACTTGGACGCTGTGAACCCGGAGACAGCGTTGTTGTTGTTGTGAAGGTTTTTGGTGGATATTGATGACTTCGTCTCTACTTCAACAATCAATCTTATTAAAATCAGATCTTACTTCTCGCTTCCGATTAAACCGAGCACATCCTATTACGGGTCACGTCAGAACGACCATGCATCCGACCAACCAGAGCGTCGCTTACCAGATCAGGAAAGTGACAGTCGGAATGTCTTTTCCAAGTATGCAACCTCGAAAGCGTTAACAAACGACCGTTATGGGCTGTACAACTGGTTCAATCAAAGTCATCGTCTATCTCTCGCTTCAAAGGGATAAACATGTGAATGGAAGAGACTGCATAGCCTGTGGGAAGTACTGCCATACCATGTCGGCCATTTATCAGACATTTCTGAATGTTAGTTCGTTCTTTTGTCAAAATATTTTTCAAAGCCTAGCCTGGAATGGACTTCGGGAGTTTGCAACTTGTGCCCCGTTAAAGCTGCTTCTGCTTTTTATGTCGACTTCCTGTCATTTCTTTGGTCAGTTAAAGTTCGCGAAAAGTCGTTCTGACGTGACCTGTAATGGGGTGTCCTCAATTATTTGTTTAACGGTAGTGAGAGCTAAGATCTGACTGTCACTCTCCCGATCTGGTAAGCGCCTCTCTGTTTCGTCGGATGAAAGGTCGTTCCGACATGACCTCAAATGTTGTCAGATCTTTGTATTGCGGTAGCGGGAGACCTAAGATCTGATTTTAAAGGGGCACTGATCTAAAGCATTTCCCCGGGACTGGTTGTTGCCTTTGTTATTGTTTTTTCCCAGTGAGTACCCGGATGTATAGCAGAAATCTAGACTAGTTCGCGACCTCTGCTGCGCCATTCGTAAGCGTATTAGTCACTTTTATGGGAAGTAATAAGGACGTATGGTCACATTGATCAACAAAATGAAATACAGTTTTCGAGATAATAAGGAAATGTAGGTATCTTTGTGGGTACCATCAGTAATGGTGACGATGTTTTGATAAGTCACTTGCTTGGTAATTTTGCGATTTTCGTTAACAATATTTTTACTTGCAACACAAAGTAAATATTTCACCTGAGCATTGCTTTTTTTATAGTGTGTATATTTTTTACAGTCAAAATGTGTAACATTTTAAAATTTATTAAACGCCTCAATATTCATTTATTTTACAAAGTGACTGAAAAACATTTCCATCTGTATTATTATGATAACGAATTCCAAACATTTTGATGTTTAATGTCATCACCAAGAGACTGAAAATGTTACGTTGAAAAGTACGTTTCTATTTTGTTTGGCTTCTAATCCTACATAATAATCTGTTGTGATGTTTTTTGGCCCTTTTGATCGTCTTTAGTCAACCTGGTCAGATTTTTCAGTCAAAATGACTGAAATATTTACACATTTTATAAATTGCCTGAGAGAATCACATTTTACAAATTGACGGTAATATATACAAGCTTTCAAAGGAAAAGACTTGTGAAAACAACGTCTATCGCGCATTTAAGAATTTCCCAACCAAGACGTAGAGGAACAAGAACGAATCTGTTCAATGCTACAGCAAATGAAGGAAAACAAAATGTAAATACCATAATTACAACCTACCAAATTTATGTGTATAAATTTTAGCCAGCTTCCTTGTTCGAGGAATGTATCCGTGAATATCCACACAAAGGAACAATATCCCACTTGTCTGCAGCTGTACAAAGATTATATATATTATAACCCGTGGTCGTTTCTCAACTGATCACTTAGATTGTTTCAGGTGTTTCACATAGGTGTCAAGTCTCAAAGGTCGGCTGAGAAAGCCCACGTGACAACTATTTTCATAACGTCCACGGTTCCTAAAAAATCCATTGAGTGATAGATAACAATGAGCAATCAATCAACGTAATATCAGTTAACCCTTTGAACAAAGTATGTTGCTTTTACATCGGCACTTCACGCCATGATATGAGTGTATTCCCTTTGTTTTAGTAAACCTTGACGTGTAAACACTCACTTTTGACATATCCACTGTGCAAGATAACAGTGATTATTCAATTAACGTAATTTCTGTTAATCCTTTGATGACTAGGAACGATCCGTTGATTTACCAAAAAAGTAAATCAACCTGATCATTCACCTCTTGCTGGGCTGCCACGTGCATATTACATAACACACACTTCACCTCACTTCAAACCTGGATTTAGATTGAATAATTACCCAAGACACAATAAATGCCAAATGGGAACCTTTGTCAGGTAATCTTAGTGGTGCTACCACTAATTGTACCTGTAACAAATTCATTAACTGAGCATCAAGTGAATGACGACAAATACACAAGTGTAGGGTTATACCAGAAAACGTGGATGACAACAAAGGAGTAGTAATCGTATTATCGACGCAATCCGAAATCCGAAAATGCTTTCACTGCATGGATACTTTTTTATTATTATTAAACTATAACCATCTGGGGTATTTCCAAATGACGACATCCGATGAGCTCCGACGTTCTTTTTGTCTGTTTAGGCTGAAGAAATTAATTAACATGCGCCCTTTG